CCTGACCAGGACACATACCCAGGTTGTAACTCAATCCCCCAGTGAGGGGGCATGCAGGAGGTACCCTACCAACGGACCTCTCTCATCATTGATGTTTCTATCTCCCTCTCCCTTCCTCTCTGAAATCAATAAAAATGTATATTTTTGGGGAAAAAATAGAAAGTTGAGTATATAGTAAGATCACAAAACCCAATGAATAGACAAAAGCTAACATTGAATGTTTGAAGTGTTGGGACTCTCTTTTCTTTCCATAGTCATTCTTTAGTGAACATTTACATAAAGTATTTTTAAAGCAGAATACATAAATTATGAAATGTACCCATGTGGGTCTGACCAAGCAGGATTCAGCAGCAAACTGGATGCCTTTATACTCTGCTATCTCATTTAGTCATTACAGACACAGACCACTTTACTAACTGAACTAATTTGATAGAAGCTTATATGAAAGCTGGACTGGAGTAAAGTCTATAAGCAAATCAAAGCACATTGGAATTCTCCACTCAAACCTCTTTCTCCTTTAGGGACTTAGGAGTTATCTTAAATATACTATCGAATCCCGATGTCTGATTGTACACTTTTCCTTTTGTTCTTTCTCTTTAGTCAATGATTTAAAAGCAAGTATGTCAAAGATTTTCCCATGTAAGGTTGTATACACAGAACCACATAGACAATACTTCAAAGAGTTTCCATCAATTTTCAAGAATAGTTTTGAGCATCCAGGATTTTTTCTCTGCTAACCACTAGTCAATAGGTGACTACATTTTCCCTTTGTTGATTTATTCTTGTTATTTGTGTGGAGTCCCTGCCTTCCCAGCCCTCACCCCTTTAGGCTAGAAGTACAAAACCCTAGTGGGTAACACCTGGCAGACAGATTGGCAAGCTAGCCAGAGCGTTTTTTGTTTCGTTCGTTTGTTTAATATATTTTATTGATATTTTTACAGAGAGGAAGAGAGGGGGATAGAGAGTTAGAAACATCGATGAGAATCATCGATCAGCTGCCTCTTGCACACCCCCTACTGGGGATGTGCCCGCAACCAAGGTACATGCCCTTGACCGAAATCGAACCTGGGACCTTTCAGTCCGCGGGCCGACGCTCTACCACTGAGCCAAACCGGTTTCGGCTAGCCAGAGGTTTACATCAACCCTGCTTTACAGTTTGTGATGCTCAAGGTACAGGTTCCTGTGATATTATCTGAGCCAACCAACGGTTAACACTTCTGCCAAAAGCTGCTGCCAAGCTCACCTATCTGATGTTCTACTCCTCAGCCTTCTCCTCTGCTGGGAATATCCTTTCCAACACAAAAAGCCTTGTTAAACGCTTTCTGTAAAGAACATTTCTTTTTTAAATTGAGGTTCAACTCACATAATATACAACTAACCACTTTGACTATTGGATCTCAATGGTATTTAATGTATTTACAATGTTGTGCAACTACCATCTATTCTAGTTTCCAAATTTTTCATCACCACAGAAAAGCACTCCATATTCACTCTCCATTTCCTCCATCCTCATCCCCTGGTAACTTCTAATCAGCTCTGACTCTCTGACTTTACCTATTCTAGGTATTTCCTGTAAAATGAATCAATTATGTAACCTCTGGTGCCTGGCTTCTTTCACTTGGCAATGTTTTCAAGGTTCATCCAAATGATATTGTGTGGACACCTCATCCCATATATGGCCAATATTCCATTAAATGTATATCCCACAATTTGTTTATCCGTTCATCCACTTATGGACAGGTGGGTTGTCCCTACCTTTTTCTTTTTTTTTTTTTCTTTTTTTCCTAGTTAATCCTCACCTGAGGATATGTTTTCCATTAATTTTTAGAGGGGGAGAGGGGAGAGAGAAATATCAATGCGAGAGAGACAAATCAACTGGTGCTGGAATCAAGCTTGCATTTGAGGTACACACCCCTGACCAGAATCAAACCGATGACACTTCAGTCTGAGGCTGACACTACCACTGAGCAAACCGGCCGGGGCTGTTTCCACCTTTTGATTATGAATAATGCTATATATCTAGGAGCGGAATTTGCTGGATCATATGGTAATTGTTTAATTTTTAAAGAAACCGCCAAACGTTTTCTATAGTGGCTGCACCATTCTACATTGTCACCAGTAATGCACGAGGGCTCCTATTTCTCCACATAGTTGTCATTTATTTTTTCTTTAAAGCTATCCTAGTGGGTGTGAAGTTGTATCTCAATGTGGTTTTGATTTGCATCTAACAACCAATATTGAATCATGTGCTTGTTGTCCACTTGTAGATCTTTGAAATGTCAACTTAATTCCTTTGTTTACTTTTTAATTGGGCTTTGCTGTTGTTGTTAATAACCCTCACCCAAGGATATTTTTTCCATTGATTTTTAGAGTGGGAGGAAAGGAAGGGGAAGACAAAAATATCAATGTGAGTGGAAATATCTGTCTGGGCTGATAGAACCTGCAACCCAGGGATATGATTTGACCAGTAATTGACCCATGACCCTTCAGTATGCGTGCCAACACTCTAACCACTGAGCACACTGGCCAGGAACTCATTGGGTTTTAAATTCATCTTCTAAGTTATAAAGGTTCTTTATAGTTTAGATCAGCGGTCGCCAACGGGTGGTCCGCAGACCACTGGTGGTCCATGAGGTCCAAAAGGTTAGCAACCGCTGGTCTAGATAAACCCAGATTAAAGATTTGTGAAACTTCTCATCTGCAGGTTGCCTCTTCATTCTTGATGTCCTTTGATGCAACGACGTTTGTAATTTTGATAAAGTGCATTTTTTTCTTTTGTTGCTTTGCTTTTGGTGTTAAACCTAAGAATCCATTACCAAATCCAAGGTCGGGAAGATTTATCTATTTTCTTCTAATTGTTTTATTAGTTTTCGTTCTTGTTTTTCAATTGTTGATCCATTTTGAGTTAGTGATATATGGAATAACAGAGTCAATGTTATCTTTTGCATGAGGTTATCCAGTTGTCCAACACCATTTGTTGAAGAGACTATTTTTTTCCAGTAAAATATTTGGCATTATCAAAATCCAATTGACTGTATTTGCAAGGGTTTATTTCAATTCTTTTCTGTTTGCCTACATCTATCCTTATGCCAGTGGCTTAAGTTTTATGGTAAGTTTTAAAATCAGGAAGTGTGAGACTTCCAACTTTGTTCTTTTCAGTTGTTTTTGCTTTTCCATTTCTGCAAAAGCCATTAGAATTTTTACAGGGTTAACACTGAACCCATAGATCACTTCAAGGAATGTTGCCATTCAATGAGACCTTTCCACTTAAATTTTCTTTCTTTTAGGACATTACATTTTCAGTGTGTAATCTTTCACTTCCTTGGTAGTTTCATAGGTATTCTTTTGAATGCTATTATAACTTTTTAAAATATTTTTTATTGATTTTTTACAGAGGAAGAGGGATAATTAGAAACGAGAGAGATCATCGATCAGCTGCCTCTTGCACACCCTCTAAAGGGGATGCGCCCACAACCAAGGTACATGCCCTTGACCAGAATCAAACCTGGGACCTTTCAGTCCACAGGCACTCTATCCACTGAGCCAAACCAGTTTCGGCATGAATGCTATTATAATTTTTTAAATTTCCTTTTCAGATTGTTCATTGCTGGAATATAAAAATACAACTAATTTTTGTGTGATCTTGTGCCCTGCAATCTTGCTAAATTCACTTAGTTCTAACAGCTCTTATGAATTATTGAGATTGTCTATATATATATAATTATAGTTTTGCTTCTTCCTAATTTGGATCTTTTTCCTTGAGTAATTGCTCTAGCTAAATAGTGTCCAAAGCCACAACCTGGCCTTGCTCCTTATCTTAAAATGTTTCCACGAGTCTCTTTATGTTTAAAGTTCCCTCCTATTTTTAATTTGCTGTTTCTATAATAAAAGGGTTCGGAAATTTTACCAAATGCTTTTTCTGCATTTGACATGATCTCATAATGTATTTTTCCTTTTATTATATGGCTTATGGTGAACCAAACTTACATTCCTGGACAAAACCCCGCTACTGCAGATCTTTTCCTTTTTTTCATTAAGTTCTCCTTTACATTTAGAATTATATTCCCCAGAGAGAGTAATTTAAGAACAGTGGTGAGCCCTAGCTGGTTTGGCTCAGTGGCTAGAGCATCAGTGTGCAGGCTGAAGGGTCCCAGATTTGATTCTGGTCAAGGGAATATACTTCGATTGCAGGCTAGATGCCCGGCTCTGGTTGGATACATGCAGGAGGCAACCAATTGATGTTTCTCTCATATCAATGTTTCTCTGTGTGTCTCTCCCCACTCCTTTCCACTCTCTAAAACTCAATGGAAAAATATCCATGGGTGAGGATTAATGAGAAAAAAAAAACATAGAGGTGACCTCTTATATCTGTACCCAAGTACTAGATTACTACTGCTCAATGACCATTTTATCAACTGACCAGACTTTGGGTAGAAATCAAGGAGGCCCCACAATTCAAAAACTGGATGAGGTTACATGTATATGTATAACCCTAGGAGAAAGTTAAATTATTCCTATCAATAGGATTTTCAATTTTAGTATTAACTTCATACTTTATTGTATAAAAATAAAGTACTGCTCAAGAAGCTATTTAGATGAGTTCCTTTTAGAGGATACACAAAGTCCCAACCCACTCTAAGTTTATGTTTACTTCAACAAACCCATCTTTGCCAGTTTGATAAGTTAAAATGTCTCATTGTAGTTCAATTCTGTAACCTTCCTGGTATGTGGGTTTCTGCAAATGTGTAGAAAAATATTTTAAAAGGCAAATAGTTAAGATTAGGGCTAATTTTTCCAAGGCACCCTTTCTTGACTTGATTAAGCACCTGTTATTATCTAAGATTTTTCTAAAATTGAACAGAAACACCAGGCACACTTATAATATCCTATTAAGAGTTTATTAAGAAACTTTGTTTCACAGGCCACACAGAAACAAAAGGACTATGTACAGGCTAGGCTTTCAGGAAACAGGCAGGGAGCTGAGGAGGGCCAAGATGAGTCTAGGGTCTTGGTGGGTGCATTCCTGGGGGAGGGGGCCCTGTAAGGGAAACCAAACAATCTCGTGAGACTCCAAGTACAACAGCATAACAAACAAACCGGGCTGTGGCAGTGTGGCCCTGGTGAACCGGGACCATGCCTCTGTGGAGCTACTTCCTTAACTCTGTAGCCAAGGATCAAAGAAGGCCTGAAGTAAGAGTAAGTTTAGTCAGCGCCTGATCTGCAAGTCAAGTCCTCATTCCTGCCCAGGCTCCTACATCCTGCAGTGATCAATCAAATGGAGGGATGTATGTGCTGACTGGTGACATCTCCGGGACTAATTAGATTCCCATGCTTACAAAACCCAAAAGCAGAAAGCTCAGACTACAGACATAGGAATCACCTAGTGCAGTGGTTGGCAAACCGAGACTTGCGAGCCACATGCGGCTCTTTGGCACCTTGAGTGTGGCTCTTCCACAAAATACCACGTGCGGGCGCGCACATACAGAGCAATGGAAACTTCGTGGCCCATGCGCAGAAGTCGGTTTTCAGCTCTCAAAAGAAATTTCAATCGTCATACTGTTGATACTTGGCTGTTGACTAATGAGTCTGCCGACAACTGGCCTAGTGTGATGGCTGTGGGTTAGCTTAGAAGCCACTCTGGCTTGGTGAAAAGAACACTGAGCTTCTAGAAACTGAACTTTTTTCGAGTCTGTTTTCTTACCAGAGGATGAGGGCGATCTATGTCACCATTTCTCAAACTGGAGTTAAAAAGATATACATACTAAATAGTATATAGCAAAGCCCAGAGCCCTTAATTATTAAACACTACCAAACCAAAGATGATTAACTCCATGACCTTTATTGGGGACCCTCAGAATGCATTATTTCATAGTGCCCTAAGAACACTGCCTTGGACACTGAGAAGTACCTGGGTGCAGAGGGAGTTAGGTCAATTAAAGAAATGGTGTTCCCTCTTTCCTTTCTGGATTAAGTTGTCCTCTAAGAAAGACTTCACCTCACTAGGCTGAAGGCCTGAAAGCCCAGAGGAATGGTCAAAATTTCACCTTCCCTTTACTTCCCACCCCAATATGGCTCTAGGGAAGGAAGTCTAAGTCACCACTGTAAGCATTACCTCGCATTCCTGGTGGAGGGGGTCGCATTCCTGGAGGGGGCATGCCCATTGGAGTTCCTCGTCCAGGGGGGATCCCCATTGGGGGGCCCATGGGAGGCCTCATACCAGGTGGTGGGCCCATCATGCCTGAAAGATAAAAGTCCCCAAAAGATAGCTCAAGTGTCTGTCAAAGGTAAAAAAAACAAACAAACATAGAAAGCTGTCTAACAACTAACAAGTTCTGAGACAGATAGACCATTACACTGTCCCAGCATCTCCTAGCAAACTGGGACTTGAGCCAAAGAGGAGGGAACTCCCAATGGCTCTTGTTCCATAGTCAGTCAGCCAGGCTGGATCTCAGAGTAATCCTGCTTAACTATAAAACTCATCATCAGTTTCGGTCAAGGTATGTCTCATCATAAATCCAGGTCAGGCATCTTTTAGTAATTAGCAATGCTCTCCTTATGGGTTTCTTACCTGGAGGGGGTGCCCCTCGGCCCATAGGTGGGGGAGGACCTGCACGACCTGGTGGGTACTGGGTTGGGGCCCCTGCAATACTAGCTGTGGCAGCAGCTGCAGCAGCTGCAACAGTGCCTCTTGCTTGTGGGGTCATCACCTAAGAGAACACAGGAAGAGAATTACGAAGAACAGTCCAGTGCAATGCAGCATCCTAATCTCCTCCCCAATTTGGTAAAGCAGCAGCAGATACCAAATTCCCTAAACTAACACTCAGGCCTTAAGACTTTATATTCAAAACCATCTTCTAGCCCTAGGCAGTTTGGCTCAGTGGATAGAGCATCAGCCCACAGACTGAAGGGTCGCAGTCTCAATTCCTGTTAAGGGCTTATATCTCAGTTGCAGGTTCAATTCCTGGTGCCGTTTGGGGCACAGGTAGGAGGCAAACAATCGATGTGTCACTCTCACATCAATGAATCTTCTATGTCTCTCCTCCTTTTTCACTCTCTAAAAATCAATGGGAGCCATAGTTGGTTTGGCTCTGTGAATAGAGTTATCTATCAGCCAGTGACCTGAAGGGTTCCAGGTTCAATTCTGGTCAAGGGCACATCCCGGGTTGCGGGCTCAATCCTCAGTAGGGAGTGTGCAGGAGGCAGCCAATCAATGATTCTTTCTCATCACTGATGTTTCTAACTCTCCCTCTTCCTCTCTGAAATCAATAAAAATATATATTTAAAAATAAAATAAAAATCAGTGGGAAAAATATCCTCGGGTATTAACCAAAAACAAACAAAAAGCCATTTTTCAGAGAAGACCAAGCTTGAATGTCAAATTCCCAGGATGCCCAACACAAATTAGAGAAGGCACCTGCATTTTCAAATAACTACTAAGTAATGGGAGTATTATTTCAAATGCTGTCATAGAAACCTTTTGTTACCATACATTCGGCTAATATACCTTTCATGAATATCATATAGTTTACCACGACAGGTTTTCCTTTCACTAGATTCTAGAAACACATACACAAAGCACCATTAAAACATTGATAGCCTGGCAGTCATAGGTTTGTCATTCTGGACTCCTCTCAAACTGTAGACCCTCCCTCTATCCTTTAACTACAGACACTGGTGCCTTTCCCCAACTCCTCACCTGTTGTGATGGTCCACCAACACCACGAACTGGCCCAGCAAGTCCTGCAGGGGCCTGGGGCATGGGAACACCAGCTGGGATTCCTCTGCCAGCAGCCCTGCCGATGCCCGGGCCCCCAGCAGCTCCAGCAAGTGGCACTCGGGCAATGCCCGTCTAAAAAATAAAGTAAGTTAGTTAAAATGCTCATGGCCTAGAAAATCAGGTGTACATTTTGGAATGCCATTGCCAAGAGAGCCTTTAAGACTTATAGGACATCAAAACAACTTACAGACACTGTCCACCGGTATGTGGTAACACCATTACTTCTCCATCTAAGATTATATGCCTAGCTGTCACTCTGCAGCAGGCTAGATTTTAAGGGTAAGTCTAGAGAAACATGCCACAGCACAACCACCAATATGCATTCCAATAAAAATTAACTAACAAAGGGCCCGGACTCCATTCAAGAGGGTGCAGTAGACAAGAGCACTTGACCTGGCATCAAAGAAACATGAGGTTCAGTCCAGCTCTGAATCTCACCTGGTGGGTGACAGTGGGGGAGTAAGCCCACGATTCTGGAACTGTTTCCTCAGCTGCAAATGATGGAGTTATGACAAAACTGCTTGTGGTCATGAAAGTTTACAATGAGCTACATTAGAATAGTAAATTCTACTGGAAATAGATACCAAGAGTTACATACTGGTACATATTCTTTGAAGCAAAAAATATGGTAACATCACTTGCAGTCATATATATTGAAAAAAAGCTTCAAATGAATCCAAAAATAAGGAAATTACGAGGACAAAGTACTCTGTACTCACTTGAGAAAATATCTTAAGTCATTCCACTAATATGACTTATATACAGCAAGTAGAAAAATATTTACATTAAGTGAAAAAGCAAAACAAAATATTACATGCATATTATGTGTTAAGTACTAATATACATATATGTACTAATATATGTATTATATAGACAATAAACAGTGTAAGAGAAAAATTCCTTTGATGAAAAATGTCTTAAAATAAAAAAGGGAAAATAAATTGGTTAGATTCTCTAAAATCTGCTCTACTTCTAAATGGAGGTTGGTGTTTACAGAATCAAGGATGCTTGGGATCAAATGCCAAGGTCACATCTTACTACAGAATAGCATTGAGATAGGGCTGGGCTATTGACACCTCGAACAAGTTACTTAAACCTAGAAAGTGGGAATTATTTATCTCAAAGATGGCTGCAAGGATTAAACAAAATACAAAAGTGCTTGGCAAAAAAATAAATCAAAAATAAATAAGTAAATAAATAAATAAATAAAGTGCTTGGCACCCAGCACGTGCTCATATGGCTTTTCGCTGGCACTCTGCTCTGACTTACATCTTTGGGAGGAGGTCCCTCTACTGTCATTGAGACCAGATTCTCCCCTCGAAGCAGCACCAGCCCAAGGACTCGCTTCTCTTCTCTTTCAGCTTGTTTTGAGTTCTTTGGCCTAAAGACAGGTTTAGAAGAAACAAAAAAGCAAGCATTAGAAAGAGGGTGAACTTCATATTCACCTACCTACTGGCCTCTAGGATTTGTTTTACACTCTATCTCATGATAAATGGTACTTAAACTTTCCCTAAGACAGCTCTTCTAGTAGTGTTCACAGGATGTATCTGCAACCCCAGGTGGTTGATTCCTATGCCAAGAGAAAACATAGAACAAGATATAGGACAACAGTCAAGAAAGCCCAGCCCTGGCTCAATGTTATTCCGTTAACAACCATCAAATCATCTTTCCTCAGTCAATCTTCTCTGCTATCTATCACTGTGTTCCCTCCCTTCAACTTAAGGTCTTGTCAGTGTCAGAAGGCAGCTGAAACAATTCCTCAGGTCAACTGAATCCCACTCACCACCACTTACAAATGGGTCCCTTACCTCACATCAGAAATAGAAACCATAAAGGAAAAGTAAGAGGTTAACCACATAGGAACTACACCTCTGTCCTCAAAGCACAAAAACAGAAATCTCCAAACAACCACAGCCAGAAAAGATGAACGAAAAATGAATGCAACCTGGGAAAAATAATCACAAGGCAGGGAAGAAAATCTCAAAGCCAGTATGTTAAAAAGAAAGAAAAAATACCTGATCAATGTAAAAATCAACTTAAAGGTTTCTTTCTTTTTAATATAAAGAGAGGAAGGGCAAAGAAGAAAGAGCAACAATGATGAGAGAAAATCCTTGATTGGCTGCCTCCTGCACACCTCACACTGGGGATCAAGCCCACAATCCTGGCATATGCTCTGACCGGGAATTGAACCATGACCTCATGGTTCACAGGCTGACACTGAGACATGTAGGCCCGTGTAAAGGTTTCATTTTAATGCTATTTTATAATAAATTAACAGTGGTTTTCTGTGGGTGGACATTTTCCCCCTTTTTTATCTTATCTATATTTTTTTATTTTTAACTAAAAGTATATACTGCCTTTCACAATCTTAAAAAAAAAGCTTTTCTGGGCATTTTAATTTTTTCTCATACATTTTTCTTTATTTAAAAAAAGATATTCTAATAAACTTTTTTATTGTCAGAATAAAGTTAGTTTCATTTGAAAAAGAGAACTGTTTGGAATAATTCTACATTGATCTGTTGGCCCTTCTCTAACATGCATACCTAGCAATCAGTCATGCTACCAAATTTTTTGTCCTATACTTCTTAACCTCATGTCACCAAGAAAACAACGGCCCCAAAGGGAATCAAAGGGATTTCACAGCTGCTGACAACATAACATGGCCACTGCACGTGGCCAACGAGAGCTGAATGACCATGAAAATTACATAACCTCTCTGGGCCTCAAGTTGCCTTGAATGTAAAAATAGAACAAAAAGCTAGACCACATGTTTCAGGTCCGAAACTTAAGATTTGTGACTCTTACTATAAGGGAGTCATCCAATAACTTACGGAACTGTAGGACAGTAGTAGATATCTGATTGCTTCTATAAATGCCAACAAAAAGCACTGGCCCCAAACCCACAGGGGCAGCTGAGCACTTACCCTGCAGAGGTCAGAGGCTTCTTAAAGCAGCTTCAGACCAGGCTGCATTGGGAGAGCCTTTTAGGCTACAGCTCTACAAATAGGTAATGAGGCCAGAAAACCAAGCTCTCCCCCCTCATACACCTGTGGGGAGAACATGACAGCCCTTACCCCAATACCAGGGGCATGAGAAAAGAGAAACAAAAAGCCTAGCAGCCCTTCTTAAAACTTGTAATGTGCTAGGACCACAGAGCAAGGATTGCTGGGCTAAAGAAAGCAATTTAAGTGTCCAATGTCTCCATTTAAATCCGCCCTCTAAAACAGGAGAGCAAACCAACAGGAATCAGCTAGCTGTATCACCACCTATCACTTGGCCCACCCCACCACCAATGTACCCCCCTCACAGCCCATTCCTCACTTGATCTTCCTGAATTCATCACAATCACACAGGATCAGATTCATATGCTTGTCGAAAGCCTTGAAGGTGCCAATGAAGATCCGACCGTCTTGCAGGATGCACCTCATCCTGTAGTCGATGTGCTGCAGCATCTTGCTGCTCTTGCCCACAGTCTGCAAGAAATCAGCAGGGAAGAGAGAGAAGCATGGATTTGTTCCACTCATTCATGCATCCACTGGTTGACTCCTACATGTGCCCTGACTGGAGATTGCACCGGCAACCTTGGCGTATCAGGACTACACTTTAAGCAACTGAGCTACCCAGCCAGGGTGGAACCACATATCCCTGCAGCCTTCTTTTCCACGGATCTGTCTTTCTTAGTACAGCTACAGTCCTTTCCCAGGAATTCTCCCATGTTACCCTGTGTTCAGTCCTGACCTCTGCCCCTTTCCCTTCAAATCATCTCATATTACAATTGCCTTTGTGAAGGCTGGGTAAATTTCAGTGAATTAACTAATCCAATCCATCCATACCTACCACTGTGAAGATTACAGGCGTGTGACTCCAGTACTATAATATACCCACATTCCATTAAAAAGCCAGGAAATGGGCTGGAATGGGACTGGCACTAAAATCCAATCAGCCAGAAGCTTATCAGAAAGGAGCTGATCACTTTGGAGGTGGGAGTAGAATGTCCCGAAGGAGAATGTGTTAGTCTTCTGGACTTCCTTTGGCAGAGAAATTTCCTGGTAGCCAGGATAGTAATTACTTTGAACACACAATGCTCTTTAAGAATATATAAACTTGTTATCCTTAAATAAATTAACCCAACAACATTTTCTGTTTTACAGCCTGGCTTGGTAAAATAGACTAGAGACATCACTACAATGTTGAGTGCCCCTGGCAGTTATAGTTCTCTCTAGAAACAAAGGGCCTGGCAGTTGATCTGTGCATCAGCCTAACATCAGTTTGACTGGCCAGTCCTGACTGTGCATGCGGTTCATCTCCGTGAGCTTGGACAAGGCTTCTGAACCTACAAATGTGTGAATCAAAACCTTGAATCCCTCCAGGGAGACCCAGGTTATGTGGCCCAGTCTCCCTCAGATGACTCTTTAACTGCCTTGTAATCAGACAGCTTTTAGCCACACAGACCTCAATCTTTATGGCAACATTTTTTTGGCCTTCTCAGTAATAGCCAACGCTTACTGAGTGTTCACTTCACACCAGGCACTCTGATAAGCACTGTATGTCTCACTTAAGTCTCAAAATCAGCTCTATTATTTTCGTCCTTTACAGATGAGGCCACTGAAGCTGGGAGAGGAGAGGAAGGTTGTTGCCCTGTCTCTCTCGGAGCCAGGAACCTCATCAGCCTGAACCCAGTGTCTACGCCTCTAACCAATTCTCCAAACAATATCCTACCAGGTCCCCCTGCTTCCACTTCGCCCAGCACAGCACCTACTCGACAAAGGGAGCTTTCCAAACACAAAGTTCTTATCATTTTGGGGGGTTCAATTCCTTCAGTGGCCTGCCCCATCGCCAGCAAGATTAGGTGCAGCTGAGGCCGTTAGTAACCTGTATTCTCCCCGCCCCCCCCCCCCCCCCGTTTCTCCCTTGCCCCCTCCAGAACTTGCTGCTTTGCACTTACATCCCTCGGATCGAAAACGTGCCCTCCCGTTTTTCGCGGGAGCAATCTTGACTCGGCTCTGGAACAATCTTTTTTTCTTTCTTTATTAAGGTATCACATATTTCTCCTCATCTTCCCTCCCACCCCCCATTCCCATCCCAAACCCCTCCCCACGCATGCCCCCACCCTCCTGCTGTCCGTGACCACCGGTTGGGCTCATAAGCCTGCACACAAGTCCTTTGGTTGACCGCGCAGGACCATCCACCCCGCAGGCGTGCGTCCCGCCCCCTCGGCGCCGTGACCGTTACTTAAGGCTGAACCGCCGCGGAGGTGCGAGGCCAGCATCCCCGGCTGGAAAGTGAACCCGGTGCAGGAAGGAAACGCTCCCCTGCGCAGCCCCAGCGCCTGAAGAGTCGGGCGTATTCACACACACAAATGTGCTGGAAAGTGAGTCCAGCTCTTCCTCCATGCGTGCTCCTTCTCCCTCCGCCTCCCCAGCCCCGAGAACACTCGCCCGGTTCAGCCAGGAGCCCTGCCCCCTCCTGCCCCACGGCCTTCGCTCACCGGGCCTCGCCAGCCCTCCTGCAGCTCTAGCGCCTGCACTCGACACACGAACACACATCTCTGCCAGCATTAGTTCCTACTTCGTGTCTCCAGGACCCCAAATACCGTGGAGAGCCGCGGTCCTACCCCCGCGCCCACCGAGGGCCTCGGCCTCCGCCCCGCAGTTCCCGCTTTCCCTTCCCCCAACCCGCCGAGCGTCCCAGGTCCCATCTCTCGTGCCCGGACGGAGCGGCCGCGGCCGGGCCTTCATCGCCGACCACCGAGCGGCCAACCACGGCCTCCTCCCCAATTGGTCGCGCCCCTTCCCTCCACAACAGACTCGGGAGCGCCCGCGCCGCCGGCCTGTGCCTCCTCACCATGGTGGCGGTTCTGATGGCGCCGATTCCCGCCGGATTCGCCTGCGCCGAGGCCTAGCACTCCCGGAGCCCGCTTCCCGCCGCTACTACCGGAAATGCAGTCCCAGGCAAAATGGAGTCCGGCCGAAAACTACTTCCGGTCTCAGAGCCCGGCCCCGGAGTCCCGCCCCCGACGTAACGCTGTGATTTCAGAAAGGGGCGGGGCTTCGGGCGGAGCTAACGACAAACGGAACCGCCAGAGCAGCTGCTCCTCCTCCTCCTCCTCATTTCCCGCCCCGTCCCGCCCCAGCCCGGCCAGTGAACCCCGCCACCAGCCTCCGCCTGGGCTCTCTACCCCACAGCCACTCGTCCGGTTTTTCGGTTTTTCCGTGAACTTGCTCTCCGTGAAATGCTCCTGCTCCAGCGCCTGTGCATTTGCTGTAGCCTCTGCCTGGAATTCTGGGCAGCCGGGTGTGTGCACCGCTCCTGCCCTCACCTTCTAGACTCATCACATTTCACCACTGAGGAAAATTTCCCTGGCCATCCTGTTTAAAACTGCAACCTGCCCTTCCTCTTGAACACTAATAGCTAATGTACTATATGCTTTTGTTAGTTATTTTGCTATCTCTCCCCATTAGACGTAAATTGCAACGTAAGGATGTTTGTGCATTGTTCATGGCTGCAGTGCCTAGACTAGGTCACTGCTAACCACAAAAACAAGGAGTTATTGAATACTTGAATGAATCAATCCCCAGCCAGTCCAGTGACTTTAAAATACATTTTTATTGATTTCAGAGAGGAAGAGAGAGAGAGAAACATCAATGATGAGAATCATCCATTGGCTGCCTCCTGCTTTCCCCTTTACTGGGGATCGAGCCTGGAGCATGTGCCCTAATGAAACCCAGAGACCCTTCAATCCATAGGCCAACACTATCCATTGAGCAAAACCAGCTAGGACCAATTCCAGGACTTTTGAAAGTTCTACATGTTCAGGTTTTACAAATTCGTTCCTTTAAACCTGGGCTCTTCATTTAACTCTTGGCTTTAATATCCAGCCACCTGATGGACATGAATGTCTAAATAGCTAATAAATTTAACAATGAAAACTAAATTCTTGAGTCTAATCACTCTTCTTCCCAAAACCACTTCTTACCAGCATTTCCCATCTCAGAAGTTTCTCTGATTAAAAATCAAAACGACTAACTTGGTAGCATCCTTGATCCCTCTCATTCTCTCCCATCTCCATCCATCAGCAAATCCTATGGACTTCACCTTCAAAATGTCTTAAATCTGTTGTCACCTGCCCCACTACTACCATGCTAGTCTTAGCCACCATCATCTTTGTCTTGGATCATTGAACCCCTAACTAGTCTCTTTGCTTCCTTTCTTGCTCTCACAGCAGCCAGAGGGATCCTTCTATCATGTAATGGGATTATATCTGATGATGTCATTGCCCTGCTCTCCACTTCCCAGTAACTTCCCAGCACACGCAGAATAAAATCCAGCCCTGCATCCCTCTCCCACTTCATCTCCTTCAACATTCCCCTCACTCATCATCCTCCAGCCATACTAGTCTCCTTATTGTTCCTCAAAACCCAGCAAGAAAAGTTTCTACTTCATTGTAATTTTTATGTGTTTTTATTGATTTTTGTTTTTTGAGAGGGAGAAACATCAATGTGAGAGAGAAACATCCATCAATCAGTTGCCTCCCATATGCAAACAGGGATTGAACCTGAAACTTGGGTTTGTGTCCTGACCAGGAATCGATCCAACAATTGTTCAGGGTATAAGTCGATGTTCAAACAACTGAGTCACACCATCCAGGACTTTGTAATTCAACTCTCATACCCTAAAATGTAGCTTCGGTCCCATTTTTGTCAACATGTGGAGAAGAGATGGAGGCTCAGAGAGATATTATCTTGCTCAAGGTGGCAAGAACAGGAATATAGTTCCATCTGATTCCCCAGCTGCTTCCAAGTTATCCTGCCTCCTAACATATCACTCATGCATGCATTTTAAATTATTTATTTCGTACTCACTGTTAGTGAGATACAAAGTCCCTTCCTTGAAGGACTTTATGTTCTAGTGAAACAGACAGTAAACCAAGTGGATAAGTAAAAAGAGTAACATTAAGGTGATATGAAAAATAAACAAAGTAGGATAGTGGGATTGAGTGATGGGTTGTAACTTTGGTTAGATGCTCTGGGAAACTCTGAGCATGCATGTGAACTAAGACCTGAATGAAGGACATTCCAGACATTCCTTACAAAAGAGCTCATGATATGTGGTCTTTGGTGACTGTCTTCTTTCACTTAGCATCATGTTTTCAAAGTTCATCCATTTTATGTACTTCATCTCTTCTTTATGGCTGACTAATATTTCATTGTATGGATATAGCATTATTGTTACCCATTCATTAGTTGATAGACATCCGGCAGTTTCTGCCCTTTTGCTATTATGAATAATGCTGCATTTAAACATTTGTGTGCAAGTTTTCATGCTGACTTATGCTTTCATATCTCTTGTGCATATAGCTAGGAGTAGAACTGTTGGGTCATATGGTAACTCTGTTTAATTGTTTGAGGAACTACCAGACTGTTTTCTTTTCTTTTTAGGATTTCAAAAAAACAAAACAGCTCACCTGGCTGGTGTGACTCTTGTTGGTTGAGCATCATACCATGTTCCAAGAAGTTGCTGATTTAAATCCCAGTCAGGACACATGCCCAGGTTTTGGGCTAGATCCCCAGTATGAGGCGTGCAGGAGGCAGCAAACTGATGCTTCTCTCTCATTGATGTTCCTATCTCTCTCACCTTCTCCCTACCTCTCTCTCTAAATATCAATAAAAAAATTATTTTTAAAAAGATCAATAATCCTAAAAACAACAGAGGTGGATTTTTTCCCATCTCCCAATCTACTATCATTTCCCTTCACCAAGGCATCACCTGGATGGTCCTGAAGCCCAAACCCTACCTCTCAGCTCCCCGCTAACCCACTACACATCCATGCTTTCTCCCAGCTTCTGATCTGTCTCCTTTAAGAAAATAAAAACACCCCCCACCCCAACTTGCTTAAAAAATAATTTTCAAAGATTAAAAATGGTATTTGTTTGTTTAAAAAATAAACACTTTTAATGTTGGTAGTCTCACTCTTCCTCTAGGCATAGTTGAGCCTCTGAGGTGCCTCCCTGCCTCACCCCAGGAGGCCAGCACACACTTGGTGCCCCTTGAAAATTTTCAAGGATTCATTTCTTCCAAATTTCCCCTGAAGTCACAAATTCCACACTCAGCTCGCATAAACATGCTGCCTTCAGTACTGGCGCCGCTCCTCAGCTCTGGAAACCTGACCCCTTTTTGTCCACTAGACCACGTGCTTCAGGTTCCCTCTGATGTGGCTGAGAATTTGCTGGACTCGGTGGGGCTCGTTTCGGTCCGGCCGGCAGCTTGGCGTGATTTCCAGCACGTAATCAGGACCATATGCTGTGAAAAACTCATGATCTGGGATCTCAGAGGAGAGCGTTTTCCCCAGGATGACCCCAGTCAAGTATGTCCAGCATCGAGCTGTGTTGGCAAGGTTATAGCCTCCTCCTCCCAAAATGAGTGTTGCCAACTGCCACTGAAGGATGTACTTAAGGCACCGGCCAATTCCCACTGGAGTCATGTTAAAGGAGCACATAGGATCCCCAGCTATTGTATCTGCTCCCAGCTGCAAGACCACCGCTTCGGGATTGAAGGCGGTGTATACCTCCTTTAGTACACTTTCACAGATGTGGTAATATCTCTCGTCCTGTATGCCATCTTGAATGGGCACATTCACGCTGTAGTACCGTCCCTTCCCTAGGCCAACGTCAGACACATCACCTGTACCTGGGAAAAATCCCGGGGAGAATTTGTGCAGGGACACCGTCATGACTTTGGAGGTGAAACTGAAGGCATCTTCTACACCATCTCCATGGTGCAGATCCAAATCCACGTAGAGAATACGGTCAAATTTCCGTCGCAATCGTAGTATCCCCAGGACGACATCATTGAGATAACAAAATCCAGATGCTTCATCTTTCTTTGCGTGATGCCACCCTCCGGACCAGTTAATGGCTACCTTGCACATTCCATCAATCAGGCATTGGGCAGCTGTGATTGTAGCCCCTCCCACAGCTGCTGCATAGTCAAATATCCCTTCGGTAGCCGGACAGTCATAACCGAGGCCATATTCCGTAGAGTCCGGATGATCGTCATCTCCTTCTTGGCTGACCATCTGGAGATGCTGCAGATAGGCATCGGTGTGGAAGGTGGCCATCTCCTCCATGGAGGCCACTTTGGGCTTGACTATTCTCATCTGCTTATGCAGTGCGTATGCCTCAATCAAAGAATGTACCATGCTGGCCCGTTTGGGGACTTTGGCCAGGGAATCGCACATGCGGACGTACTCGGGACTGTAGATGTAAACCGGGAGCAGGGAATGCCCACTGTCCACAGGTTCCTCTGGCTCCTCCATCTGGAGCCACTGTCCAGATCCTGCTTTTTGTGAATTCAGCCCAGGCTCCGGTTCCTGCTCCTCTGATCTGCTGCAGCAGTGCTCCCTGATCAAGAGTCACTGTCCTCCATCCCCATCCAATTGAAGAAATGCACGGGCACTCATTTAGTGACCACAGTTCAAAAATGGGAGGTGGGCAGATATAAAAGCCCTGCCAGGCTGTTTTCCAAAGTGGCTGCACTGTTTTATACTCCCGCCAGTAGCATATGAAAGTTCTGATTTCTCCACTTCTTCATCATCTCTTACTATGTGACTTGGATGGACCATCAAACGGTGTGTGGACTGGTATTTATCTCATCGTGCTTTTGATTTGCATCTTTTCATGTACTTACACTGCCCATTTGTATATTATCCTTGGATTCTTTTCTTATAGTGAGAATCCTGTATGTATTCTAGATACAAGTCCCATATCAGATATATGATTTATAGACATTTTCTCTAACTCTATGGATTGTCTTTTCACCTTAGTTTTTAATTTTGATAAAGTCCAATTTATCTATTATATTTTTTTGTTGTTTTGTTTTTTGCTCATGCTCTTGGTGGCATATCTAAGAATCTTTGCCACATCCAAGATCATAAAGATTTGGTCCTTTGCTTTCTTCTAAGAGTTTTATAGTTTTAGTTTCTTACATTTGGATCTTTGATATATTTTAAATTAATTTTTATGTCTGGCATAAGTAAGGGTTAAGTTTTATTCTTTTGCAGGTAAATATCCAGTTGCCACAGCACAATTTGTTGAAAAAACTATTCTTTGCCCACTGAATGGTCTTAGTACCCTTGTGGAAAATCAGTTGACTGTAGACACATGGTTTTATTTCTGACTTCTCAATTCTATTCTATTGATCTGTATGTCTTTCCTTATGTCAGTACCACTGCTTTGTAGTAAGTTTTGAAATCAGAAAATGTGATCTTTCTCTGAAATCAGAAAATGTGAGTCCTCCTAATTTGCTTTTCTTTCACAAGATTGTTTTGGCATTCCAGATCCCTTGTACTTTCATATAAATTTTAGAATCAGCTTGTTGATATCTGCAAATAAGAAAAAAAAGAGGTCATGAATTCCAGAGCATGGGGTTAAGTAGGCTATTTATTTGGCCTTTGATTCAGTTTAGATCAGCAATTTTCTACCTTTTCATCTCATGGCACACATAAACTAAAATTCTTCGGCAAACCAAAAAATGTATTTTTTACCGATCTGACAAAAAATAGATATATTTTTTATTCATTCACTCTGGATGACTATTGTTCTGTTAGCGGTTGTCATTTTCTTATTGACAATCTAAGGGAAAAGAGGTCAGTGCTCCTGACTGAATAGTCAGGTATGGCATGTTTTAAAAATTCTTGTGGCACACTGATTGAAATTGCTGATCTAGATCAAGAGTCAGCAAACTTTTTCTGTTGAGGGTCAGATAGTATTTTAGAGTTTATGGGTCATATGGTCTCTGATTCAGTTACTCAACTCAACCATTGTAGCATGAAAGCAGATATAAACAATACAAAACAAATGTGTGGCTGTGCTACAGTAAAACTATTTATGGACATGGATATGTGTCACAAAATATTATTCTTCTTTTGATTATTTTCAACCATTTAAAATGTAAAAACCATCGCTTCTCGGCCTTTTGGCTAAGATCAAGTGTAAAATGTAAAAACCATTCTTAATTCGTAAGCCTCACAAATACAGATCTAGACCATTAGATTTTTGTGTTTGGGTTCAGGTCCAGAGCCCCAGCTAGTATTAGTAATAACTTTGACTAGCACTGTTTCTTTGAATAAATGCCATCAAAAGTCCGTGTCTTTGCGCTCATATAAAAACTACATACACAATTCACATCTGTATTAGTTGGGTAAAATGAAGAGAGACATAAACCACACAGTAATTCAAGCAGGAAATTTAACATAAAGAATTATTATACAGCACTGGGCAGTATGGCTCAAGTGGTTGGACTGCTGCCCCATGCACTGAAAGGTTGCCAGTTAAATTGCTGGTCAGGGCACATACCTAGTTTGCATGTTCAATCTCTGATTGGGGCACTTGGGGAGGCAACCAATATTTCTCTCATACACTGATATCTCTCTCGCTCTTTCTTCCACTCTCTCTAAGATTAGTAGAACATATCCTCAGGTAAAGATTTTTTTTTTAATTTTTTAAATTGATTTCAGAGTGGAAGGGAGAGGGAGAAAGAGATAGAAACATCAATGATGAGAGAGAATCACTGATCGACCGCCTCCTGCACTCACCACAGTGGGGATCAAGCCTACAACCCAGGCATGTGTCTTTGGCCAGAATCGAACCTGGGACCTTTCAGTCCGCAGACCGATGCCATGTCCATTGAACCAAACCAGCTAAGGCTTATCGAATAAAGATTTTTAAAGTACTATATATTATATAATGATAGGAGAGAAACTATTATATAAATATTGAAAGAAAAACTCAGCTGTGGTAGAATTCTAAGGAAGGATGAACAGGAAAGGAGAGTTCCCTCCCCAAGACTGGGGATCAGCCATCACTGGAGGAGTGGCTGCCGCCCATTGATGGTAAAGAAGTTAGGGATGGGGGGTTGCACACGCCAAAGCTGGCAGACAGGAATAACCCTCTGGAATGCAGGTACACAGAGGGAGCTGGATGTGGACAGAGAACCAAGATGTTGATGTTGAGCCAAAACCGGTTTGGCTCAGTGGATAGAGTGTTGGCCTGCAGACTGAAAGGTCCCAGATTCGATTCCAGTCAAGGGCATGTACATTGGTTGCGGGCACATCCCCAGTAGGAGGTGTGCAGGAGGCAACTGGTTGATGTTTCTCTCTCATCGATATTTCTAGCTATCTCTCTCCCTTCCTCTCTGTAAAAAAATAAATAAAAATATATTTAAAAAAAAAAAAGATGTTGATGTTGATGTTGATACAAAACCTGGACCACACAGGGTCTGCATCTGAAGGGCTGCATCAAACAAACATATGAGGCACAAGCTAGCCGAGGCTGATAGGCAGGTGAGCAAAGACAGTCAGAACACTGCTAAAGACCCTGCTATAGAAACGGAGACTGGAAAGCTGCAAGAACCTAGGATACTTCTGTGCACAGCTTGAGCTGGGGCTGCTAAAGGTAACTGCCAGGACCCTGGTGTGCATGCAGACAGAGCTGAAGAGAGGGTCTGGGGAGTAGCAACCAGGGAGGGGAGTTCTGGGCCTCAGCACAAGATGAAAGTCAGGTGGTGATCTGCTTGCCAGAAAGCCAGTGCAGCCCTAGACTGTATGCCCATGGAGATGAAGAGAAGGTGCAGGAGCAGTGACCTATGCTGTTTGGGCTCCCGGCTAAACCACCACTGCCTGAGTGGAGAGCTGAGGAAAACAAAAGATGGCCAATCAGTGGAGAAAGCTGGGTTCTGCAGGCATTTAGCATGAAGAAACTGCAGAAGTGGGGGGAAAGGGTACTCCCTGGAGCCTGGTGAACTGAGCCAGGAAAGAAGCTCCTTCTGATGTTGCTCCAGAGCCCACTACTGATAAAACTTCATGCCAGCTGGCAAACGAAAAGGATTTCAAGAGCTCAGATCCATTTTCACAGATCAGGCTACAAGAGGTGAATTTAGAGCTGAGACAACATATTAATAAGTGGCACTCTTCACACACACACACACACACACACACACACACACACACACACACACTCTACACATAGGTCAGCACAATGCAAGACTTGGATGGGGAAAGAGGATAGCCAGTTCAACCTAGTACCCTCTAGAAAAGGAACTATTCTTATGATAAACACAGATAAGATGATGTTCTGCTTGGATTCCGGGAGTGATGAGAACTTTTATCTTTTGCAAATATTTCTCACGTTGGAAAGCTGCAACACCAAGGACTTTCAAAACAAACCCTACGATGCCTGTCTTCTCTTTTAGTCCACATTACCATCGCCATAGTTGTCCTGTAAATTTTGTCTGGGCAATGCCAACACTTGTGACTTCCCAAATTTATCCTAGTCTCAAGTCCATCATGCCTTCTCTTTCTCTTAATTTTTCTGTTTCCCTATATCATCTCTTCCAGATTCTCTCACCCCTGTTCAGCAGAAAATCTGATCTGAAGTGTTTTTACAATTTTATTAATGAGGCACGCCTCCAATATTGCCAAATTTATTTACACTAAGATTTTCAAAGCTTCGGCCCCTCTCTGAAAAGACAAGTAAGCTTTGCTGTAGCTGTTTGGCTCAGTGGATAGAGCATCGGTCTGTAGGGTGCCAGGTTCAATTCTGGTGAAGGACACATGCCTGGGTTGCAAGCTTGATCCCCAATAGGGGGCATGCAGAAGGCAACTGATCAATGATTCTCTCATCATTGATGTTTCTCTCTCTTCCTCTCTGAAATCAATAAAAAATATATTGGGGGGGAAAAAAAAGACAAGAAAGCCTCTGTTATTAGCAGTGTCTACTAGGCACAGGGAATGGTACAGGCCTGCTTTCACTCTAGATTATATGGAAAAGACACTGCAAAGAGGCAATTCAGACAAAAACTATTGTAAAGAGCATTAAAAATTCACATTAAACTTTCTTCCCAACAAAAAATAACCTAGTTCCCAAAGGAAGTGAGGGGTCGAAAAAAGGGGAACTTATGGTCAGCAGCAATAAGGATTCTGAAGAACCAACTCTTCTGCAGAATCAATTCTTCCTTCAAGCTGGTGAGCAGGGTAAGCTGGGACTCGCCCTGTGGTCTGTCTACATCAGCAGCAGACGAGGGCGAAGCCTGTCCCAGGGAACCTGCCTTTGTGAGATTTTCCACTCCTCAGCTGGAGTATCCTCTTCAAAACACCGGTGCATGGAAACTCTAGGGATCTTGTTTCTATTTTTTTTTTTTTTTTAGGATCCTAGAATGCCATGTTCTAATCTATCCCAAGTAATTTTCTTTAATTAAAGGTCAGCTGAGTGCTTGGCTATTCTCCAAAATGATGTCCAGATCAAAATTAATGAACAGGGTATGTTTTTTTTTTGTTTGTTTTTTTTTTTAATGGAAGGTGCTGGTTTTGTTTGCATTTTTCTCTCCCAACAGCAGGGCATGGAGAAAGGGCCTTAGGCTTATCAGGAATGCAAAAGGAATGCATCTCTCTTCAAATCCTAGAGATTACATAGCCATATTCCTCCCTCTGTGGCTTCTAGTTCTGACCAGAAGCAGTGTTGATGGTATAGGGGTAGTTCTGGGAAAGGAACACTAGGGGAACACTCTGATGCTGACACCCCCTCACCAGAGCTGACCCAGGACCCGCTGCAGAGCTGAGTGCACGGCTCAGGGAGTGAGCAGAGGCCTTGGAGCCAGGGACTCTCTTACTGCCCCCTCCTTTGATGGGATGTTAAAACCACTCTGTGCTTTTGATTTTCAAAGCCTGATGTCCAATTTGTGACCTGGTAAACTCCAACTAAGCAAGCAAATTTGCTGGAGTCTAGGTAGACCCACCCTCTACAGTGAACAGTTATTGGCCCGGAACACAGAAATCAGAGCCAGCGAGTCTAGAGCTGTCAAACTGAGCAATTTGGGCTCTGAGGAAGGGGAACCAGGAAAGGGTGTGGCCAAAGGACCAGGTCCTGGACTGGTCCTTGGGCTGAAAAACGATGGCTGGTGTATGGCTAAGTTGTCTTGGACCAGTCAGTAGAATATGTGGTGTGTCATTAGCAGGACCCTTGGAGGGCTGTGGGGACATGGCCTTGAAGCTATATTTAGGGGTTTTTAGACCTATGAATAGCTAAGAAACCCAAAGCATTCATTCATGACTGGAGAACAGGGCAGGTTAAAGGACTTGAGCTTAGACTGTGGAAGGCTGCATAGGGAGTGTGCTGACAGAATCCCTGAAAATGCAGGATGTGAACAGACCATTAAGCACAGTGATGGTTTGACAGTGATGAGAAGGATTCAGCAGAGACCTGACTAGAGATTAGAAGGAAGAAAACCCAGGGAAGGGAACCTTTACAAAAGCCAAAGGGGGTGATCAATTAGAAGAGGCAATCCAGGCCTTGGATACCTGGGAAGTTCTTCCCTCGGCTGGCATGTCTCCAGAACCCCGATCATCCTCCCCTCACAAAGGCTCAGATATCCTCAGATTTATTTGGACTTATTTTTTCTCAAGGGTTGAATTCATGCAGGAAATCTATGTTGTGAATGTGAATTCCTTTCCACTTGGATGAGAGACTCAGGTGTGCAGCTTGAGCTTATATTTTACTATAACAAAAAGACAAAACATGAGAAGGAACTAGTGTACAAAAATAAAACAAGTTGTCATTCTTAGGTTACTTAAATAAAACCTTTTACTTTTTTATTCCATTGGGTTACAAAAAGTGGTGGAAAACCAAGTCTACTTAGTGGCTAGTGCCATCTTCACTCTCATACAGAGAATGTGTGTGTGTGTAGGGGGGGGGGTGCCGCGGGTGTCAAGACTTGTGAAACCTCTTCAAAGGTGAGTGAGGTTGTGGTTTGTGGTGTAAAGAATGTCCTTTTAGTCTGTTGAGGAAGAGCATCTGAATAAGCTTCACCCACAAACCCTGCCCACACAGATCCTCTCTCTGAGTGACCTTTAATAACTAATATGACTGATTGCTAAAGCATCTTACAGACTCCCTAAAGCTTCCCACAATATGGCTATTCTCTGATGTATCCTGAGATGCACTTTTCCTAAATCCATGTCCATTCTGCCCACAGTTTCTATGCAAACGCTGAGGTTTGTGGGGGGTGACTCTGGCCACAATCATGTCCACGCCCCCTGTACACTTAGAATGTCTGAGTGGCGTCCCTGCAGAGACAAAGAGATGGAGAAGTAGTTTATTGGTGAATGAGGGCAGGACTGGGCAGAGGAAGAAGCAGACCTGCAATTTGTTCACAACTGAGATCGGATGGGTAACTCTTGAGTCCAGGGTTGAGGTTTTGTCTCTCCACAGCAATCAGTCATTGGCCAGGAGCCAGCCCTTAGGAAAGTGCTATTCCCTGTGGCTGAGAGCAGGTCAGAGCAGAGAAAAGCACTGTCTCTGCAGCTCATCAGCAGGGGTATTGATCCTGATATGGTTATCTGGACAGGGTTCCACAATATCCCCACATAAGGATCTCTCTATGGCATAAGAAGGCTGGCTGATCACAAGAGTTTTCCCACAATCCCTACAAACACACTGCTCCTCTCTGAGTGTGTCATCTTGTGCCTGCAAGTCTGCCATTGGATATTCGATAAACCACCTCACCCACGGTCCCTACACACACCACACCTCTCACTTAAGTGTGGCCGAGTTACCCACACTTAGGCTCCTCTGCTGAATGTGTCCTCGGTGCCTGATGAGAGTCAACACATCTCTGAAAGTACACTCACGCCACACACAGACCCCACGTGTCTCTCTGGTGTCAGATGAGGTTCGACTGATGGCTGAGTCTTGTCCGTGATCCCTGGAAACATGCTTTTCCCCAAGTGTTTCCTCTGGTGTGTGATGAGATTTGACCTGTAGATAAAGCTTCGCCCACAGTCCCTGCAAACATGCTTCTTCCCCGAGTGTGTCCCCTGGTGAATAACGAGGAATGACTTCTGGCTAAAGCTTCGCCCACACTCACTGCACACGAAAGGCTTCTCTCCGGAGTGTGTTCTTTCATGGATGATGAGGTCCGACTTATAGAAAAAGCCTCGCCCGCACTCCCTACAGATATAAGGCTTCACATCTGAGTGTGTCTTCTGGTGTCTGATGAGATTTGACTTGTAGCTAAAGCTTCGTCCACACTCCCTGCAAACATGCTTCTCTCCAGAGTGTGTCCCCTGGTGAATGAGGAGGAATGACTTCTGGGTAAAGCTTCGGCCACATTCATTGCACTTGTAAGGTTTCTCTCCCGAGTGTGTCCTCTGGTGTTTTCTGAGGGTTGACTTGTCACCAAATCCTCGTCCACACTCCAGGCACACAAAGGGTTTCTCTCCTGAGTGTGTCCTCTGGTGTCTGATGAAAGATGACTTCTCGCTGAAGCCATGCCCACACTCCTGACAAATATAGGGCTTCTCTCCTGAATGAGTCCTCTGGTGCTTTCTGAGGGTGGACTTATAAGCAAATCCCCGTCCACACTCCGGGCAGACGTAGGGCTTCTCCCCAGAGTGAGTCCACTGATGTTTAATGAGGACTAAATTGTTTCTAAAGCTCTGCCCACACTCCCTGCATGAATAAGGCTTCTCTTCTGAATGTGTTTCTGTGTGTCTGTTCAGATTGGACTTCTTGCTAAAGCCTCGCCCGCACTCCTTGCACACATACGGCTTCTCTCCTGAGTGTGTCCTCTGGTGATGGACAAGGATTGCCATCAGGCTAAAGCCTCGGCCACACTCACCACACACATAAGGCTTCTCCATTGAGTGTGTCCGATGGTGTCTGTTGAGGTTTGACTTATTGTTAAAGCCTCGCCCACACTCCCTGCAAACATAGGGCTTCTCCTCTGAGAGGGTCACCTGGTTTATAGCTAAGTTTGGTTTCAGACTACAGTCTAGTTCGTGCTTGCTATGGCCGACCACTCTGGATCTCAGGGTTCCTGACTCCTTCGCTCCTCTGCCTGTTTGCACAGAGCGGACCCTCTGGGCTGACCTGGGCTCTATTTCTACCACCGTGTTGCCTTCTCTAGGACTTGCTGATTGTCTTCGGGGTGGGCTGGGAACAGCGCCTGAGGTTTCTCTCTCCTCGGTCCTCACAAACAAGGATCTGAAGCCACCTTCTCTCTCTTGAGCTTTTGTGTTTTCACTCCAGCAGCTCGGAGAAGAAAACTTCTGCTCCTGATGCCCCAGGCCAGAATCCCCTGGATGGAAGTGACGAAAGTCCAAGAAGCTCGGAAGCACATGTTGGCTGAGGAGTGGCTCATGGGAGAAGGCCAGAAGGCAAGAGGAATAGGAGTCTGTTTCTGGCTTTGTTTCTGCCGGAGAAAGAGTGTTCAATTAGAGAAGCCCTAAGTGGGCAGCTGGCTGTTCCGCCTTGTCTTAGGACAGAGTATCTTCCTGCCACACCTACTATTGATAATAAATGTACAACAGAGTTCGTTTTCCACCAAAAATTCCTCTATATTCCATTTCTAAACATTCCATTTTCTATTACAATCCAATAAAACCACATCAGAAACAGCCTCTACATGTCACTCAGTCTACATGTCTTCATGTTTGTGTACAGTCATACCAGGAGCCTTTCAGGTAAGCATTCTGCTTTGTAAACAGCTTCAATAGTGTCAGCCATCTCTTTCTAGTACATCATCTAAGCCATCGACACTTACACTGATGTACTGTCCACAATTCTGTTGTACTTGGAGATAACAGACTCTATGACCGATATGAAACTCGCCTCCATGACTTTTCTTATATCAGAAAACAAAAAGACTAATAAACATAAAAAGTCACTTGATCTGGAGGGCTTCCAAACATAGGAGTATGTACATGAAACAGGGGTTAAAGTGAATGCATATGAAATAAATCTGAATTTCAGGTTGTCCACAGAAAACAAATACTTATTAGAAATTTTAAGTGCAGGGTTCTCTACTAAGTATTGTGGATTCTGCAGTGGACAAGAAATGCATGATCACTGATTTCAGGATTTTGGCATCTTGTGCCGAAACTAATCCCATTACAATGACACCAGACTGGCTATGGGATTTGCTTAGGCCAATGGGAGATTGGTGAAAAGTGAGTGCTACTTTCAAACATTTTTTTTAATGTTTTTATTGATTTCAGAGAGGAAGGAAGAGGGAGCGAGAGATAGAAACATCAATGATGAGAGATGATTGATCGGCTGCCTCCTGCACGCCCCCCTACTAAGGATTGAGCTAGCAATCCGGGCATGTGCCCTGACCAGGAATCAAACTGGTGACTTCTTGGTTCATAGGTCAACACTCAACCAATGAAACACCGAGGATGGGCTCAAACACATTTTAAGAGCCACAATGTGTTTCTTCATTCCATTTTTCGCCTTCTAAGAATCCCATGACCCAGACAAAGACTGGTTCTTTTGCCTGGATTACAGAACTCCAATAGAGCTAAACTCCTATCTGAACTGTACATAAGAGGTATTATAAGAAATGAGCATTTGCTAAAGTTCTGTGTTGTTATCACAACAATACATAGCCTATACTAACTGAAATATCTCACCTATGATAGCTTTAAAGATTATTTCAGGGAAAATTGGCCCACTTATTTCTAACAGTACCCTTGAAAAAGAGACATTGGAACATGAATATGTGAAGAATTAGAAAACAAGAGATGAGTTTAAGAGGGAAAAGAGTATGACCTCAATTTTTGTAAGTTTGAGAATAAACATATTCTTGTAACTTAACAGAAAAGCACAGGTGAGATAGTGACAGAGAAAATGGGTTCATCATAATATGTGATGATCACAATCGTTAAGGTTCACAAATTGTTTAAGAGTTTGAATATAGACCAAAAAAAAACAAAACAAAAAAAAAAAAACATGTGACATTAATCCAAAGAAAAGAAAGAGAGAAACCCAGTAAGAGGCTAGGGAACTGCAGAATACTGTGGTGTGGAGCAAGACAAAGGAAACAATTTCAGAAAATCCAGTTTTTCCATATCGAGCCTAATTTGAATCAGGTCATTTTAACATTGAACCCATTCAATGTATTCACATAGAGAAAGAGAACAATATGATCAGAGGAACATAAAAATCAAAATAAAATCTAGTTAGGTTGAATAGCTAAGGCCAAATCAAAACACATAAAACCAGACTGAAATGGATGAATCCAACTTAAGTAGACAGAGCGCAAACTAGATGGAACCAGAACAAAACTATCAAAGAAAATGAAAATGGACATATTAAATCTGATTAACTGATATCATGAAAAAAGCCAGGCCATCTGAGGAAACTCCTGAAGAAACTTCTGCCTGAAACTAGTTTGTGTTTGCAAAAATCTAACTCTCTAGGTGCTTTATCTAGAAATATGGAAATATCCAGAACTGCATTATCCAATATGGTAGCCACCAGCATACATGTTTACTGAGCACTTGAACTGTGGCTAGTCTGAACTGAAATGTACTTTAAGCATAAAATACACACCAGATTTTGAACACTTAGTACAAAGAAGTAAAATGATTTTTATACTGATTACATGTTGAAATAATATTTTGATATATCAGATTAAGATTATTAATTTTACCCATTTATGTCTATTTTTCTAAAGGTGGTTACTAGGAAATCTAAAATCATCCATGTGGCTCACGTTATATTTCTACTACATAGTGCTGACCTAGAACAAAGGGAGAGGGGGGTCGGAAAGAGGAACTACAGCCTAAAACCACCATACTGCCCTCTGTTCATGTACAGTCTACTAGCTAAGAATGGTTGATAAATTTTTAAAGAGTTGAAAATAAGTCAAAAGAGTAATAGTTTATGATATATAAAAATTATATGGAATTCAAAATTCAATGTCCACAAATAGTCTTACTGGAACACAATCATACTCATTTGCACATCACCTGTGGCTGCTTTAGCACTACAAGGGCAGAGTTGAGAGTGGTTAGAGACCATATCACCCACAAAACCTAAAATAGTTACCATCTGGCTCTTTGTAGAAAAAGTGACCAACCCTTGAATGAGAGTAACGTTGCAATCAAAAGTATCTATCAATCTAGACTTAAAGAATAAATGTATGTTTTTAAATAAAAGAAATAATCTGGCTTATGAAACTCAAAAGCTATACAATCTCTGACATTTAATTTCAACTTCTGTTGCAGAAGGCATTTCTCTCCCCCTCGTTAACTGTGCTTCCAGTCTCAATCCCTTCTCCCCACAGGCATATTCCTTTCTTAAGGTCTTAGCTCCAAATAAGTCTCCATCTGAAATGCTTTTGCCCTAGAGAGCTAGAGTTCTAACTCCCTCACCACTTTATGTCTTTGGTCAAATGTTCCCTCGCCACCCTGTCACACTCAATTCTCCTTTATCCTGCTTCATTTTATTATTATTTTTTACTAGGTAGTGCTTATCCCTTCTAACATCCCTGTATATGAAGGCAATTGTTGTCTGACTCCATACACTAGAAAAAGCCCCCATGGGCAGGGTTACTATTTCATTTACTAATGTATTCTAAGTGTCTGAACTTCTTCTGGCACGTGACAGGTGGTCCATAAATCTCTCCTGAATTAATGAAGGAAAGAACATAGCCTCACCCAATGAAAGTAGGTTCCTGTAATTCTCCAGCATCACTTCTTTGTACAGGATCCTCTGCTTAGAGTTCAGGAGCTCCCATTCTGCCTGTGTGAAGACCACAGCCACATCCCTGAATGTAACTGGTACCTATAAACAAGCAACAATTAATGAACAGCATGTCCCCGTCAATTTTCCCAGTGTGAGGAGTCGGTACAGTAGCCCTGGAGAGTCTTGATATGTAAGAGTTGCTCTAATTCTTTTCAGGTTACACAGTTCTCCAGATCAAATTCTTCTAGCCATTACTATGGCTGTGTGTTAAAATCTGAGGATAGTGCCCGGCTGGCGTGGTTCAGTGTTTGAGCACTGAGCCACAAACCAGGAGGTCAGGGTTCATTCGATTCCCAGTCAGGGCATATGCCCCAGTTGTGGGCTCAATCACCAGTATAGCACATGCAGAAAGTAGCTGATCAATGATCCTCTCTCATCATTGATGTTTATATATATCTCTCTCTCTCCTTTCCTCTCTGAAATCAAACCTATCTAATAAAAGGGCAATATGCAAATTGACTGTCACTCCAACACACAAGATGGCCACCACCATGTGGTCAAAGATGGCCCTCACAAGATGGCCTGTAGGGGAGGGCAGTTGGGGGCAACCAGACAAGGAGGGGAGAGCAGTTGGGGGGACCAGTCATGTGGGGGAGAGCATGTAGGGGAGATCAGGCCAACATGGGAGGGCAGCTAGGGGTAATCAGGCCTTTAGGGGAGGGCAGTTGGGGGGGTCAGGCCTGCAGAGAAGGGCAGTTGAAAGGGACCAGGCCTAAAGGGGAGGGCAGTTGGAAGGGACCAGGCCTAAAGGGGAGGGCAGTTGGGGGCAGGCTGGCAGGGAAGAGCAATTAGGGGCAATTAGGCCAGCATGGGAGCAGTTAAGTGTCAATCAGGCTGGCAGGGGAGTGGTTAGGAGCACTCAGGCAGGCAGACAGGTGAGAGGTTGAGAGCCAGCAGTCCTGGATTGTGAGAGGGATGTCCCAAATTGGAGAGGGAGGGCTCTACTCAGCTCTCTCTTTCCTTGGTTCTCTCCATTAAACTTTTAGCTGATTTGCCTTTTTTTTTTTAATGTATGTATGTGTGTATATGTGTTGTGTGTGTGTATGTGTGTGTGTGTGTGTGTGTGTATTTATTTATATATTTTCCACAGAGAGGAAGGAAGAGGGATAGAGAACTAGAAACATCGATGAGAGAGAAACATTGACCAGTTGCCTCCTGCACACCTCCTACTAGGTATGTGCCCACAACCAATGTACATACCCTTGACCGCAATCGAACCTGGAACCCCTCAGTCAGCAGACTGACGCTCTATCCACTGAGCCAAACCGATTTCTGCTGATTTGCATTTTGCTTGTTGCTATCATGGATCCTGAGCTGCCTCTTAATTGCTCACCACAAAAATCTCCATTGTTCTCAAGAGCACTCTTAGGTTTCAACACCCTTATGCTCTGTTCCAAATAAAGCCCGTGCTGTTAAGGAGTGCTACACTGGCCTTCGTTCTTCCAACCTGCCTCTCCCCCGGGCAGGATCTTTGCCAGTGCTGAGAGCTGGGAGCAGAACTGGCAGCCACTTCTCTCAGCGACATTCCTACTCTGAGAGGTGCCCTGGGGGATGGGATGCTGTGGGGGTGGGAGCTCCTTTCTTCTCAGCTTGCCTCTCCTGGCACAGAATCTCTGCTCTCTGAGGAAGGGGAGAAGGCAATAGGGTCCTTACTGATTCTTGACCTCCGATGCCTGGGACCGAGCTTCTATCCTACCAACAGGGGCTGGTGGAGAAAGAAAAGCCCAGACCTCTCGGCCACTTTGCCTGCAACACAGATCTGGAGGGAATGAGATTAGCTGGTGGCCTGTCTCCCCAGGAAGAAGTACAGGCCGACACTGGGAACTGGGAAGGGAAAGAGCCCATTGTGTTGGCTGTACCCACTGGGAGTAGAGCTCCCATCATGGTGAGCTAAAGGTGGGCAGACGAAGCAGATTGTGAGACAAATGCCACAGACTTGCAGTTTTCACTGAGACTTAAATTTTCTCTTCTTTAAAAAAAAAAAAAAAAAAATTATTGATTTAAGAGAGAAACATTGATTAGTTGTTCCACTTATTTATGCACTCATTGAGGATCGAACTGGAAACCTTGGCATATGGGGATGATGAACTAACTAATGAGCTACCCAGCCAGGGCTAAAACACAGATTTTCTTGATTAAATGTTTCTCCACTTGCTATAGTCCTTAGGACAATTTCCAGAGACTTCAGGTGTTTGGGTTTAATGGTGGAGTTTTTTTTAAATCATCTATGTTGTTTCACTGGGGAGAGTGTCTGTGGAGCTCCTCACTCCAGCATGTCCTGTGACCTTGCATGTCAATAAACTGTGAGCGGCTGCACATTGGTTTGAAAGCTTTAGGCTGGCAGTTAGGTAACCATCTCAACTATTATTTAAAAACTAAAGGCCCAGTGCACAAAATTTGGGGGGGAGGGGGGGAGTGCAGAGAACGGGTCCCTCAGCCTGGCCTGCATCCTCTCCAATCCAGGACCAATGGCTCCTAATCACTCACCTGCCTACCTGCCTGATCGCCCCTAACCACTTTACCTGCCTGCCTGATGCCCTCAACTGCTCTCCTGCTGGCCTGATCGCCCCCAACTGCTCTCCCCTGCCAGCATGATCACCCCTAACCACTTCTGCCTTGGCCCCACTACCGTGACTTCGTCCAGAAGGACATCCTGAAGACATCCAGTCTAATTAGCATATTACCCTTTTATTAGTATAAGTTACTTATTGTCATAATTTCTTTTTTATATACATTATTTTCCCAATGAACTGAAATGTTCCCTGAAGATAAGGCCAGTCTACTTATAAACCTATTAATTTGACTTGTAGAATCGCACACGCACCATTCACATGAAAGAATACATCAAATTTCTGGTAAAGGAAAGAAGATGGAAGGAGAGGAGGAGTAGGGGTGAAGCACTGTTAACTACAGAGAGCATTCTGTATGAGCCATTCCTCAAACAATCCAGGCCCATTTCCTAGAGCTGGAAAATATGCTCCCATATTACTAGATGAGGACTTTGTCACAGAAAGAGTCCAAAATACAACACACTACAAGCTGCAGAGCTTGAGAGTCAGAGAAAACCAAGTTCAAATCCTGGCTCTACCATCAACTGATAGTATGGCCATGCACAAATCACAAACACCTTTAAGCCATAGTTCCTCTTTCTAGGATAAATAGAATTAACACCACTACTACCCTCTTGCCACTATCTTTAAAAATTATAGTGACATTGTTATGAAATGTTTGAAATTTGTCAAAAGCAATCCAGTGAGAGACATGAGAAGAGAAGAAATTAAACAAAACTGGCCATTGTGGATGTCTATTGAAGCTATGTGATGGCACCTGAGGCCCTATTATTACTATGCTCTCTACTTCTCCATATGTTCAAAATTTCACTAGTAAAATTCGTCCAATGCAAAAGATATTATCGTTAAGTAGTGTGGTTGTAAAGTGAAATTTAATAGTACATTTATAATTTTCAATAATCTCAGTTTTTCGGTTATGTTGCCGAAACCGGTTTGGCTCAGTGGATAGAGCATCAGCCTGAGGACTGAAAGGTCCCGGGTTCAATTCTGGTCAAGGGCATGTGCCTTGGTTGCGGGCATATCCCCAGTAGGGGGTGTGCAAGAGGCAGCTGATCGATGACTCTCTCTCATCGATGTTTCTAACTCTCTACCCCTCTCTCTTCCTCTCTGTAAAAAATCAATAAAATATATTTTTTAAAAAGATCTCTTATGTTGTCCTGGCCAGTAGCTCAGTGGGAGTGTCATCCTGAACACCAAAAGGTGGCAGATTCCATTCCTGGTCAGGGCACACACCTAGGTTACAGGCTCAGTTCCCAGTCAGGATATGTACAAGAGGCAACCAATCGATGTTTCTCTCTCAAGTCAGTCTCTCTCTCTCTCTCTCTCTCTCTCTCTCTCTCTCTCATATCTCTTTCTCTCTTAAAAAAAAAAAAAAAATGAAAACCATATCCTTGGGTAAGAATTTAAAACAATTTTTTTAAATGCATCTCTTGTGCTTTAAAGTTTCCTGGACTCTAACTATTAATCTTGACAATAAAATAAATGGAAATAAACAGGAATCATTATAAAGTGACTTGACAATTGCCTGTTCCTGTCCCAATAAAGAGAATATACAATATGCCTATGCTCTGAAACACGAACCAGCATTTCATAAAAAAAAAAACAAAACAAAAAAAAAAACAGTAATCCAAACTCACCAGTATTTCGGGCTTTCCCTCGGTTTTCTGGAGCGAGCCAGTAGCATCAGAAGGCAAACCTCGGGGAAGAGAAAGCAGCTGTGAGAGGAGGCCTCCCTGATGCTCCCAGAGCAGCTCCTCTGAGCCTTGTGGTGGAGGAAGCAGTCCCTTTACTCAGCTGAGACCACTAAGCTCAGCTAAACCTGGAGCCTTGCTCTCCCTCTCACCTCCACACTCTCAACAACTCTCACCTTTTGCCTTAGGATTCTGAGTCAATTTCTTCATAGTCCGTAGCAGTTTCCCTGCTCTCCAAAGGCAAAATCTCTTCCCTGTTCCTGCCTCCCCAGGCAGGGGGTCAGGCAATGTCAGGGCCCCAGAGTCAGCCCCGTGTTTGCCTTGCAATTCTACCAGAAATCCAGGTAGAAGCCATTTCATCGCAAGATCGATTTCTGCTGCCTGAAGTGACGTCTCTGAACCTTACTTATAAAAGCCCATCTTGTTTCCATGAAGCCAGGACCTGTGGGACGGAGAAGAAACTTGATGTTGCCAGGATCCTTAATGGGGATCCTGTCCACAAGGGGATCCTGTCCTCTCACATCCTCCTCATTCAACAAATATGGAGTCTCAGTCCAGGGCGGGAGGAGGTGTTCCTTGGAATTTTAACCCTCAAAATATATTTTTATTTATTTCAGAGAGATAGAAACATCAATGATGAGAGAGACTCACTGATCGGCTGCCTCCTACACACCCCGCACTGGGGGCTGAGCCCAGGCATGTGCCCCGACCCGGAATCAGAACTGTGACCTTCTGGTTCACAGGACGATGCTCAACCACAGAGCCACACTGGCCGGGCTTCTTGGATTCTTTTACCTCATTTCTTTCCAGCTCTCAAATCTGGTGCCTGCCACTCTCCCTTATGTGACAAAATTTACAATTCCCTCCCTCCCCCACACCTCACATTCAAGCTCCATGTGTTGTATACAAGCTCTGCTGCTTGGAGCCTGAGTCAGAGAGAAGACATAGCATGATGCCTGTGGAATGGGGCATTCAGAACTCGGCTCCTGGCTGTTCTGAATGAATTCCATCCCCTACGTCCCAGTACTCTGAGGAGGTAGGGTAGGGGGGGGGAGGGGGGTTTAAACTGAGTCCTTCTTACTTTAGGTAGAGCTCCAAATCTCACAGTGACACATACACATCTTTCTTTTCTGCACATGTATGCCACAGGCCTTATCAGTGATGTGCATCGATGTCTCCTGATGGGCACAATCTGAAGTCCTCCACCCACGTGGTCCCAAAGGGGGCAGGTAAGGTTAGGGGCTATACCACCTTCAGAAGCAACTCAGACACTCTGTCCAAGAATCTCAGTCCAAGTGATTGCAGTTCTGCTGTTGCCACGTTCCCTTCTGAGATTAGCTAGGGTTCCTCTAAGAAGCCCTTTGGATTTACCCCCTAACAACACAGGCAGAGACGGTCACTCACTCTTCTGTCCAATCTGGACATCCCATCTTAATCACACCATCTTGCAATTTTTCTATTTCTATGACTCTCCTTACTAGAATCCGAGCTTCCTGTAAGAAGAAGCGCATCTCAGGGGTTTTGCTATTCCTAGTGATTAGAATAAAACGGTCCTTTGTGGTAGATTTGGTCATTGTTCCCAATTATCTGCTTCTCTCTAAAAGGACTGTACTTTCTGCCTATGACATCAGGTTTTGCCTTAGACAATGAAATGGGAGAGAAGATGACATGCCACCTCTGAGCAGTGCATGATTCAACCATCTCTCATGTTCTGAGAGCAGCACGTTCCCAAGAAGTGGCCTTCTTTCTACTATCAAAGGCCATGGTGCTGAGCCAACCTACCAAGGAGGAGGCATCAGACTAGGTTTAAGGTTAGATTATGGGTCACTTAGATTTGGGAGTCATGTGTTACTGGAGTACAACTTAGCCTAAGCTGATAACTATAGCCCCTTTCCTCCCACTAATGCTAGTATTTTTAGTATTTATAAAACAGATACTGTAGTAAGTGCAGAGTACTACAAATCTTCACAACACAGCCAAGAGGTAGACACTTCTATCCTTTCCACCTCACAGAGGAGGAAACTAAGGCATAAATGTTCCATTGACTTGTCTTAAGACCACACAGCGACCCAATATCAAAGCCAAGCCAAGAATCCAAAGTTTTCATTCCAAGGCCCTTTTTCTTCACCATTCTCTAAAATAATGCCCCGTGCGCAAATACGTTCAGATATCTATAGATATTATTTTTTAAAATCAAAACATTATAAGTACAATCATTCTGCATGTAAAAAGAAAAAGAAAAGAAAAAACTGGCACAACCCTATTAAAGACAATCTAAAAATTTTATGTCCTCAGACCTTATCCTGGTTACTATTGGATTGGAAGCCTCAAAATGTGGACAAAAAGAAATGTAGGCCAAACTCCATTTTTGGCCAAGGTTCTACCAAACTGCTGCCAACCCTCAAGGAAATTATAACCTAAAAAATTACAGTGGCTGCTATGAAGAACATTCCAATTAGATTAGACCATTTAAAAGTGCACTTAAAAGCAAGGACTTCCAAATCAGATGTACAGAATGGGGGGAGGGAGGGGCCTATCATTACTCACCAGGATAACAATGTGAGAGCTCTCTTTAAAAAAAAAAAAAAAAAAAAAAAAAAAAAAAGTCTTTTTTTTTTTTTCAATTTATAAGTTTTTCCAGTTAAAAGATCCATCACTGGCTGACTGGTGTGGCTCAGTGGTTCCATCACTGATTGACTGACATGGCTCAGTGGTTAAGTGTCTACCTATGAACCAGGAGGTCATGGTTCAATTTCCGATCAGGGCATATGCCCGGTTTCAGGCTTGATCCCCAGTTGGGGTGTGCAGGAGGCAGCCAATCAATGATTCTCTCTCATTACTGATGTTCTATTTCTTTCCCTTCCTCTCTGAAATCAATAAAAATATATATTTTTTAAAAGATCCCTCATCATCATCTGATTTTGACATGTAGAAACTTAGCCACTCAAACCAAATAAGCCTTTTTATGGCTTAATCAAGGGCCACACAAGAGTGTAAAAAAGTGTAGCCTCACAAGATCCAAAAAGCCTCAAATGGGACGTTGCAGGACTCAAGATGTCAGAATGAGCAAAGGAAATTCACCCACAGTTTGGAGCAAAGAAAACACCCTAAGAACGTGAAGTGTGTGGTGCCCACCATAACGGGGCATCAGGAACCCATTTTCTCCATGCAATCCAATCTCACAGATATAAGAACGGGGACCTGAGGATAAAACAGGAACTGTGAACGTCAGGGCCGTCTCTCAGCCCCAGATACCGGGCTAGAAATCGCCACGTCTAAAATAAGTGGTACTCGGCCGGGACCGGTTTGGCTCAGTGGATAGAGCATCGGCCTGCAGACTGAAAGGTCCCGGGTTCGATTCCAGTCAAGGGCATGTACCTTGGTTGCAGGCACATCCCCTGTGGGTGGTGTGCAAGAGGCAGCTGGTCGATGTTTCTCTCTCATCGACGTTTCTAACTCTCTGTCTCTCTCAATTCCTCTCTGTGTAAAATCAATAAAATATATTAAAAAAAAAAAAAAAAGCCTCAGAGCTGCTTTTATAAAACAGGTACTGTACTAAGTGCAAAGTACTACGAATCTTCACAACACAGCCAAGAAGTAGACACTTCTATCCTTTCCACCCCACAGAGGAAGAAACTAAGGCATAAAAGGTCCACTGACTTATCTTAAGACCACACAGCGACCCAGTATCAAAGCCAAGCATAGAATCCAAAATTTTCATTTCAATTGAAAAAAAAAAAAAAATTTTTTTTTTTAAGGAAAGCTTTCATATTGTTATATGATGAGTAATTATAGTCCCCCATTCTGTATATCTGATTTGGAAGTCCTCGCTTTTAAGTGCACTTTTAAATGGTGTAATCTAACTGGAATGATCTTCATAGCAGCCAGTGTAAGTTTTTAGGTTATAATTTCCTTGAAGGTTGGCAGCAGTTTGGTAGGACCTTGGCCTACATTTCTTTTTGGCCATTACTTTGAAGCTTCCAATCCAATAGTTACCAAGATAAGGTCTTAGAACATAACATTTTTAGATTATCTTTAATGGGATTTTGCCAGTTTTTTCTTTTCTTTCTCTTCTTGCATGCAGAATGATTGTACTTATAATGTCCTGATTTTTGAAAATAATATCTATAAGAGAAGGAAGTAGGCAGCTTCTGGGGACAGAGTCAAGAATGGGCGTCAGAACACAGCCTGCCCTGCTATGCTGCTATAAAGTAAGGAATCTTTTTTGCTCTGTGGGGGAGGAAGAAACGCTCCCGTCTTTCTAGGTTCTTCTGGCTGGCCTAATAATTAAATCTGATTAGATTAATAAGAAAAAAAATAAATTTAATTACATACGTACATATGGAAACCCTGAATATATGAGTGAGTCAGAGACACCCACACACGTACAGCAGAGGTTCAGAGACAGAAAGGAAGTTGAGGTACACCTGGCATTCTGAGCTCACGGTGAGGTAAGGCATCATGGGTTTCAGAGGGAGGAAGGTCATTTGCAGTACGATAAGAGCAGAGGTTGAGCAATCACAGGTTTGCCCTGCTCCACAGGTCATAAAAAGTTATTTCTGGTGATAACTCTGAATAGACAAGGTCCCAAATTTAAATTCTATAAGGGAGAGGTAAAGTTTCTTGTGAGTCAACAGGGTCTCAACTGCCTTCACCTCAAAATTATTCACATGCCGAAGTAGCACATCTTAGGGACAGAATAACTCAGGCCTGTTTGAACCCTTCGGTGTCTATGGGCTCAGGAGACCTGGTACACAAATTTTGTGCACCGGGGCGGGGATGGGAACGGGGATGGGGTGTCTCTCAGCCCAGCCTGCACCCTCTTCAATCTGGGATCCCTCTCACAATGCAGGACTGCTGGCTCCCAAGCACTTACCTGCCTGCCTGCTGGATTGCCCCTAACCACTTCCTTGCCAGCCTCTTTGACGCCTAACTACTCTTCTGTCAGCCCAATTGCCCCTAACTGCCCTCCCCTGCCAGCCTGGTCACTTCTAACTGCCTTCCCCTGATGGCCTGGTTGCCCCCAACTGCCCTCTCCTGCTGGCCTGGTCACCCCTAACTGCCCTCTCTTGCCAGCCTGGTTGCCCCTAACTGCCCTCCCCTGCTGGCCTGGTCACCCCTAACTGCCTTCTTTTGCCAGGCTGGTTGCCCCTAACTGCCCTCCCCTGCAGGTCTGGTCGCCCCTAACTGTCCTTCCCTGCAGGCCTGGTCGCCCCTAACTGTCCTCTCCTGCAGGCCTGATCCCCCTCAAACTGCTCTCCCCTACAGGCCTGGTCACCTCCAACTGACCTCCCCTGCAGGCCTGGTCACCCCTAACTGCCCTCCCTTGCCAGCCTGGCCACCCCTAACTGCCCTCCTCT